TACTAGTACTACTACTACTACTACTACTACTACTACGAATACGAATACTACTACTACTCCTCCTCCTCCTACTACTACTACTACTACGATTACTACTACTACTACTACTACTACTACTACTACTACTGCTACTAGCCACCACCACCCCCGCTACCAACTACAATTCGTCATTGTCATCAACAAACGTCACGAAAAAGCAAACACATTTCATCACAACATCGCCAAAAAGCAAACACGTTCCATCACCAGCATCACGAACAATCAAACACATTTCATAACCAACATCAGCAAAAAAGTACTGTAAATGCCGAGTACGAGTAAAAGCGGGCTTGCGTGCGAAAGTACTAGAAATACCGAGGAAAAGCTTTCCCACACCCAAGTTCGAGTTTTCGAAACAAGCCGTTCGAGACACCAAAGTTCGAGACGCACAGTCCAGAAGTAGGAGTGGCAACTATATAGGAAAGTACGACCTCACGAAAGTACTGTAAAAACCGAGAAAAACGGCTCTGGTGGTTTTTGCCTCCTACATGGCTGAGCGAGTCGCGAAGTAGGGTTTCAGGAGATTGACGAGTGAATTCACTCAAGGTAGGCTCTGTACTGCCAGCATGCCCCATCTTCTTGACGGGCAGTTCATTTCAAATCTCTGCACAGCTTTTGTTAAGCACTCACAGAACACCAAGGTTCAGAGACAAGGCTCGGTATCAACCACGTCTCAGCTTCTAATTACGAAGCTCATTGTACCAGCTTGCAGCCAAAAGGACATATCAATTATCAATTACAAATTAAGAATTACAAATTTGATGCACTGCACATTGTCAGGCTCTCAACGTCAGTCACGACTATGCAGGATACTGAGCAGCCGAAAACACGGTAGAATACCGGAGTACCGAAGTACTCGGGTATTCTACTTCAATTGAACCAGCAGTCTCATCTCTCCTTGTGCAGAGGTCAAGCTTATATTCAATCAGCTCCAGGATTATTGCAGAAACAAAGCAGCTTCCCCGAATACCGCCGTGTCCAGGTAATCCACTCCACATTTTTCTGCATTCAATCTCGCTTCAAGCGCAGAAAAGCAAAGCCACGCGTTCAGATGTATCCCAGCTGTAGCCTTAAAGGAGTGAGGTATCAGTAACAGCTTGGTGGCACGGAATTTGGCAGCCATCCAACATCTCCGCCACTGACAAGACTCCTCACTCCAGCATCTGAAAGCAGTGTCGAGGCCCATTGTCGTGTTCAATATATATGTCAACACGTAGGGCCATCTTCACATTCAGCACTCTGTATGCCATGTAAGGGAGTAATCCGCAGTGAAGCCAACTATCAATGTTTTTTTTTCTCTCATCTCTACTTTCATTCTTCCCAAAAGGCTGTGCAGCAACTCCAGGGCGGATCGTGTAGAGCAGCGTCATTTTCAGTAACCCAGTCAGTCTCGTCAATGGCTCCACACCCGCCATCTCCAATGTAAACCAGGCCAGAAGGGCTGTCAGCTGTTCTGTAATCCATATCCAGCAGGACCAGGACCAGCACGGACTGTGTATGCAGAGGTTTAAAGGTCGCACTGCTGCAAAGGTCAGAGGTGCCATGGCTGGAATGCGCAGCAGGGTAAGGTAACCCAACCCAAAAGGGATTAAAACCCGGCCAATATAGTTCAATCGGACCCAAGAGCATTAGGGGGTGCATACGTTTGTAGTGGAATTCGGGGACTTACCCTAAAATACATCAAGATCTAAATGCTTAAATAAAAGGTTCGAACATGTCCTCCATACCTGGCAGTGGTGGTTGCAGTGGTGGGGCATCTCATTTGTGGACATCACGGTTCATCATCAGCATCCATCCATCCAATTACCAATTAGAGGGTGCAACTGAATTAATCCTCCGAATTAAAGGCTGAATCTGAACTTGCAGGCAGTCTCTTGTCCAACAGCACACCCACGTACAGGACGCACTAAGAAAACACAAACAAAAGTTTGCGCATGTCCAACTACGCCTGCATTAGCAGCCACTGTTGTGAAACAGAATCCTCTCTCCACTGCAAACTTTATGAGGGGAAATACAATGGTGTGGAGAAAGTTTTTTGCAGGGTGTTGAGGATTCTACCTTCTCACGTCAATCAACTTGATGTATGATCGTGCTCCCCTGAAGTTGTAAACCAGACTGCGACACTTCCAAAGTCTGAAGTGACTCACGTATGTGGGTCTGTCGAGGTTTCTTTTTAGAGGGAGAATCAGTAAAAGGCTCGAAAGAGCCGTCAGATTCGTCAGGCAGTGGGAATCCTGCGTCTCGCAATTCACTCTTCACATGTGGGGTAAGGGATTGTGTGTGAGCTACGGACCATGCGAGTAGAACTACCCTGTCACCCCCTTCCCATGGGATTGTAGAATGTAACCGCCGCGACCATTGAAGACTAAAGGTGCGACAGAAGTGTCATAAACAAAACCCTTGACTTTGGACCCCAAATGATCAACAGTTGTATCCCCACGAAGATCCTCAATCCAAATTCCTCCCCCACTTACCTTGGACAGGAGTTGGAAGCACGTTCCATATGGGGCGTTTTTTGGGTCACGATGGGGTCCCAGGCTCAGGCCTTCTCGCACTGCACAAGTGGTAAATTTAAAAGACGGCACATGATGCTTCAGGTACATGAGGATGGACTGAAGAAACTGTGGGTGTGAGAAAGTTCCCTGTGCGGCTACAGTTGATGACCTGGGGCTTGCGCCGAAATAGATGACTTTGGGGTTCGAGGACGAAGTAGGCTCAGAACTCTTAAGGTGGAGCTTGAATTGGGGTGGGATGTTTCTCCAGGTTTGTAGAAGGTCGTTCGTGGTCACAATCCTCTCGCCTCGTGACACCTTCTTGTTCAGGGCAAAACACTCCAATTCCGGTTCGCATAACTTAGCATCGATGGAAAGCGCTCTGCTAATCAGAACGCACTCTGCTGAAGAAAAGACGTCCTGGAAACACATCTCACTGTCACTCAAAGTGGTGGGACACGATTGGGGCTTTAAAGCATCAGTCATCGGGACGCTGGGTGGCTGCGACTCCAAAACGATCTGGATCTCTTGGGATTCAGAGTCTGCTGCACCGGCTTCTGAGGACATGTGGGATTCTGGAAAACCAAGTTACGGCTGAGTCACACTTCTAGAGATCAAACGGTCATGTGTGTTCAGTGAGCCAACACAAGCAGCAACTTGCAAGGTGTCAGTCTGTACTACATCAAAAAGGACTTGCCCTGAGCGCACGAGAGAACGGCAGCTTCAAAAGGTATGACTTGTTTGACATGACAGTTTGCTCTGAGCGCACAGCAACTAGCTGGCAGCTACAAGATGCAACATCGACCTTGCTCCGAACACACATTGGCAAGCTAGCGGCTACAGGGTGTCTCATCGACTTGGCTCACATAGACGCATATATTTTCTTCCCGGCTGTAGTAGGGTTCGAGTTCGATCTCAGTTCGAAACGCACACGAGCTTGCATGCAAAAGGCCCTTGCGGTCAAGGATGCAATGCCGATGGGCACGAGGCAATCTGGCATCTGAGTGCAACACTCAATTACTCAATTACACTGTATTTACACCTGAACGATCAGAATTACAAATTAAAGTGCAATGCAAAGCGCAAATTCAAAATTACATGCAGGGATTTGTGCAAAGGGCCATGTCGGAATTACAAATTAAAAATAGCAAATTAGAGGGCGAGCCCTCGAGGCATGCAGTAATTACGTGTGCCATTCGTCAATGCTGCAGAATGGATGTGCTGGAAGGATACGAGAAATAAGTGACGACATGAGACAGTGAAAACCCTCGAACACATCACGGCAGCAAGTGAGTCGGCTCTGGTGGTGATATATTTGGTTGTGTTTGCATAGCACTGTCGTCATCATCCCCCCCACCCCCACCCCCACCCCCCAAGCCAGAAGCAAGTCCAGAATCAAGCGGCCGAGTTTGCAGCAAACTCGGCAAGTCGATTTTCAGGCTTCGTATGATGATCGTACATGACGAAAGTGCCGTAAATACCGAGTAAAACGGATGTGCTCTTAAGATAGTTTAGAGCAACTGTAGTTGGTAGGGGCGGGCGCCTGCTACTACTCCTCCTCCTCCTGCTGCTCCTGCTGCTCCTGCTGCTCCTGCTGCTCCTGCTCCTGCTCCTGCTCCTGCTGCTGCTGCTGCTGCTGCTGCTGCTGCTGCTGCTGCTACGACTACTACTCCTGCTACTACTACTACTGCTGCTGCTGCTGCTGCTACTACTACTCCTCTTCTGTGACTGACACCGCTTGAAGCAACTAAGAGTGATGACAATAGCAGCCCAGCTGGCTGTGAGTAGCACGCAACCCCTGTAGCAGGAAGTACTCCTGCGCTTCAGTACGCTTTGAAGCTAATGATTCGGGGGCAATGACTGGAACATGAAGCCCATGTGCGGGGACGAGACAGGTTCTGTGCTGACTGCCCGGTAAAAGATTCGGTTTGAGCACAACATGGCTTCTATTCTCGTTGTCAGAGGACATGCTTAATAGATGTCATTACCATCGCTGCTCTTGCTGCTAGGTTGTTGCTGTTGTTGTCCATTTGATGCTGTTGTTGCTGCTGCCGTTGCTGCTGCTGTTGCTGTCGCTGGTGTGCTTGCTGTCGCTGTGGCTGTCACTGTCGCTGTTGCTGCGGCCATTGACGGCTATTGCTGACGGGTCGCTGTTCCTGTTGCTGTCGCCGTTGCTGCCGGCGGTTTCCTTTGCTGCTGCTGCCGCAGTTGCTGCTGCTGTGCCTGCTACTGCAGCAGCAGAGACGGACGGACGGACGGACGGATGGATGGACGGATGGATGGATGGATGCGTGGATGGATGGATGACAGATGAAACTAAATGCTTTCCGGACACTCGTTCTCTAGTGTGTTGCGAGCTGCGGGCAATGCATGACTGGCCTTGAGACGGATTTGCTCAACGTCGGTCGTGCCCTGGCGGGCGAATCAGTGCACTCGAGACACTGCTACTGCTAAGACCATCGGGATGGGCATGTCTTCATTGAACTTGTTGATTGCGCAGCTATCCGTTTCAGAAGGCGCCACGCACATGACATACACAGCAACCCAATGCACTGTCGTTTGCGTTGGCCTTCACCGTGGTTTGCGAGCACAGGGAAGAAAGGTTCAAGTTCGCCCGACGGGCTCCAGGTTTTGCAAAGTCAACAGCACAAAAAAGGCTCAGATTTGTGCCTGACAAGCACCAGGCGCTCATCCCTGCACGAGCTCCTCCAGCCCATGAGCCCAAAATGTCCGATGCTGCTTTCCACACCCAGCCCCGTCGCCTTGGATGTCGGAGCCAAGACCTCGCAACGCATCACGACATGGAAAACATGTATTGCAGCACATTTCCCCCAACCACAAAGAATTGAGTCTTGAAGAAGCATGACCAGCAAAGCGTAAGTGCCCACCCCTGCCACATCATGGAACAGAGTGAAACCTTGCAGATGAGGCTGCGAAAATACCCTAGAATCTCTGGAAGAGTGTAGAAACATGATTATACAGCTGCCGATGAACATGGCGATACTGGCGGCAGGAAGTAGTGTAGAGCCCCCGAATAACGAACAAGTATACTAGCTGCGTAAGCAGTCACACGGATATACATGCTGCAGACTTGCTGGCACCACAACCCAAGATCAGGGCAACAACTGTTAACCGCAAGCAGATGCGGGACAAACGTGTGCACTGTGTAGGGGGCGACATGGCATTCGGCACAAATGTAGAATAAGCTTCACGGGAATGGAACGTGAAGCTGGCAAACCTACCGGTGACAGTAGTGGCCTCTTTCTTCTCCACAGTCGCCCTGTGGGCACAGTGGGCCTGGCAAGTCTAGCCGTCCGGCTTCGCCGGACGGCCGTCAGTCAGCGGCTGGAGGGTTCCGCAGAGGTGTTAAAGCCTCTGTAGAGAACTCGCCTTGCCCACGATTTAAAAGCTCTCGGAGCAAGTCCCCGAAAGCCCAAAGCACAGAATCTAAGACGCCGCCTCGACCACGAAGGTAGGAAAAGGAGACGGCGCTGTCAGCAGAGGCTGCACATTGACCCAGTCAGGTTGATCCTTTGGCAAGCTGATGCGCCAGTCTCGGACCAAGCGGGCAATCGCCACAGAAAGCTCGAGGTCGGCTACACGACCTCCCAAACACATGCGGGCACCAAAGGAGAAGGGTGTAGCCAGCAGCTTATCATCGATCACCTCCGCTTCGGTTCCTTTGCGAGCCTCGACGGCATCTGCCAGCCAGCGCTCTGGCTTGAAATCCGATGGATCCTCGACATACTTGGGGTCGTTCTGCACGGAGAAGACGTTGAAGGACACCCTGGTGCCTTCCGGAACTTTGTAGCCATCCAGTTCCAGGTCGCAGGGAGCCGGTCGCACGACCATAGTAGCTGCGGCTGGAGTGATTCGGTGCGACTCCCGGATCACGGCCCTGAGATAGGGCAGCTTCGTCTTCATGTTTGCTGCGATCTCCTCGGTGACGTCTCCCGAGCCAAGCACTTCACGAAGCTCCTTCCTTAGGATCTCCTGCTTCTCCGGGTTCTTGGCAAGGTTCACGAGGTTCCAGCTGATTACGGCCTGTGTGGTGTCAATGCCCGCCAGCAGGAGGCTCGCCGCTATTTCTTTGATGTGGTCCACCGGGATGCTGCCGCGATCAGTGATTCGCGCGATGTACGGCTTTGTGTCAGCCGGCATGTCCTTCGACCTTTCCAGCGCGTCATCAAGCAGCTTGCTCGCATAGTCGTAGCTCCGCGTGAAAGCCGCTTTAAAGTCCCGATTTACAGGATGATGGCGGAAGATTCCCATCTGAAGGTGGCGGTTGAAGAGTGAAGTTCCCATCAGCTTGAACATCACACGGGTGTTCCGCACAAAGTCCATGTCCTCGGGACTCGCATCTGGAGATGTCGTTTTCATCTGCCGGCCGTAGAACAACGCACTGAACATGTCGAACGCCAGGCGCGTAGTGAACTCATTCGGCTCTTTGGCGAAAGTTGGCAGGTGGGTGGATGCCAAGTTGACAGACTCATTGATGTAGGGAAGGTAGGACCGCGCCGTCTTCGGGCCGATAATGTCTTCCTGCACCGCGAGGCGGTACTTTCGCCAAGGCTCCCCCGTCCCAGACCACTCCAACAAGACCTTCTTGTCGTTCTCCTTCATCCAGCGTTTGGCAATCCAAAGGTCGTCGAGGGCCCCCACGGGGTACATTCCTTCGTTTCGATACATCTGCATGTACAACTCAGGTCTGCAAACCGTCACATTCTCCTCGCCGACAAATCGCAGCCTGTAGATGTCTCCAAACTCATGGTAGTACTCGTTGTAGGCCTTGTTCATCTGTGGGCCTTTCGGCTGGGTCATACCATTCACCCTTGACATGAAGTCGGGCAGGGCCCCTATGATCGGCCACGCTTTGGGTCCTGGGATGTCCTGCAAGCCCAATGCGGAAAAGGAACGGCGCAGGCCAAACCACAGCTGGACTCCGGGCTTTTTGAATGCCCGCATCATGGCAACCAGGGGCTAAATGACCCGAAAGACTGGAGCAAGAAGAGTGCTTGAGGCAAAATGGCTGACGAAAATGGGAGCAACTGAAGTCTACAATCGAAAAAACTTCGTCATGAACAGGGAACTTTTTGAAGCAATGGACTTGGTTCATGACAGCACACATGACGATTGCCCGTGTATGAAACGAGAGGGTCTGGTATCACTGAAAGATGATTTGAATATCACGTTGCCAGTGGACTGAAACTCGGCACGCACATACTGTGGGATAGGCGGAAGTGCCACCCCCAATTATGTCACTGACTCTGCTATCACAACTGCGATGGGGATGTGTCCAAACTGCAGGAAACCACACAACTGAGCGCAAGAGGACGTCAACGCATGTCCAGCGGCTGTGTTTGACCCAGTGAGTCCAGGGATGAGGCTCAGTAATGTGGTAGCAGTAGTAGAAATAGTAGAAGTAGTAGAAGTAGTAGTAGTAGTAGTAGTAGTAGTAGTAGTAGTAGTAGTCGTCGTCGTCGTGCTCGTAGCGGTAGTAGTAGTAGCGGTAGTAGTAG